ATTAGAAAAAACTTTTACCCTGTGAGGGTGACAGAGCACTGGCACAGGCTGCCCGGAGAGGTTGTGGAGTCTCCTTCTCTGGAGGCGTTAAAACCTGCCTGGATACATTCCTGTGTGACCTACTGTAGGTGATCCTGCTTTGTCAGGGGGCTTGAACTAGATGATCTTTCAAGGTCCTTTCCACCCCTCTTACATTCTGTGACTGTTCCATGGGAATTTTACCTCTGTGCTTTGGAAACGTATGTGAACTAATAGATATGTAACAAGCATATAGACAGTGGATTGTATTTCTTTGCTTTGCTTTCTCTAGCAAATCAATGGTATGCAATGGAAATAGGCCAGGATGCATTCGGACCTGCATAGCTGTGCAGGCAGATGGAGAAAGCTGAGGAAGCTGGTCCTTTCACTTCTGACCTGTTGGCAGAACTTTCTGAGTAGAAGGACTTGTGTAATATAACAGCAGTGAAGGAATAAGTGGATGTTCTGCCCAGAGTTGTCTGTGCTGCTGTATTCCTGGCATCTTCACTGCTTAATGGCCTCTTATTCTAGTAGATCCTGATGATGATGTTTATTTCCCTTCTGTGACATTTTCTGGCTTGAAACACTACCCAGGTTCCAAATTTCCATTGAATATTTCAGCAAACAGGATAAAACTGTAGCAGCAGAGGCAGTAAAGTTTCAAAAAACAGACTGAACAGAAAGGCTTTCCCTGAGTGGAGAAAAACTTGTAAAATGTTGTTTTTAAAGTGTAACACAGTTTTAGAAAGACATTCTGTTTTATTTTCCTCTCTCAGAAAAGGCATAACCGATCCAGAAGGAATTTATAAAAATTTTCTGGATAGAATATTAAATGTTGTTGTTTGGAGCGTGATTTGGTTTCCCTAATACAGGCATCTAGTTCCTTTCTGGATGGCCTCATTTATGGTTCCTGGCCTCTAGCCACTGCTGCAGGAGGTTGCATGTCTGCTGTAGGTCCTGTTTCTATCTATCAAGCCTGGGAAGACATCTCTGTCAAATATTGGCATCTCAGATGTCACTCAGTTTAGGATCCAGTGTCACTTCCAAAATGACTGTAATAATTCAATATGGCAACTCTGAATCAAATATATAGTCTTGTTTCGCTAGACCAGATAGCAGGGGTTTAAGCTTTTCCCATGTGTCCAGCTTGTTAATAAAGAGTCAAGAGCAAGTCAAGCAAATCTTATGTTTGTGAGAATCCTAAAAGCCCCTAGAAAGGTCAGGAAACACGAGAAGGTTTTTGTTCCTTAGCGAATCTAGAAAAAAGTCTTTCACCTAAAGCTGTCAGATCAACGTCATGTTATGCGTCAGACGTATTTCTTTACAGTCACATGTGGACATCGTGCCTACAGCAAAGCGAACATACCTGAGTGATGGAGGGCACTGTGGGTGGTGGAGCTGGGCTGGTTCTGGAAGCAAAACTAAGCAATCAATGCACTGCTCACTGCTCTGCTCCGTGCAGACCCATCGAAACACCAACTTAGTCCTTAAGGAGTTGAAAACTTGACTTACCATTTCTAAAGTAAATACTTTATCCCAAAATGTAAGGCTATAATCCTTTAAGCTCCTGTCCACTGTAGCAAGCAGAGGGAAAAAATGCAAGATAGTTCATTAAACATTTTGTCCGTAGAAGCTGTTCTGTGTCTGAATCAGGGAGATGTTCTTAATGTTGGCAACAGTCCAATCAAGAAAAAAAAAATAAAAAAGAGAAAATAAATGAAATCCAGAATAAGAAAAAAAAAAAATCAGTTGTCTCGGTTTAGAAGACAGGGGAAAG